ACTGAAGACCACTGACCAGGAATGCCCACTTTATTCCTTTCCGCTCTGTCGCTAGTAAGTTCTCTCTTCTCCCACGAATTGTGACCCATCCCCCATCTGAGCTGTAGAGCCTGGGCGGAGGTCCTGCTTTCTGTCCTTTCCTGGGCACCTTCCCTGTCCCATTCCCGTATGTACAGCCTGGATGTGCGAGGCTTTTGCAGGCCTGTCCTGTACCTCCTTCACCAGCGTCAGTATTTGGAGTGGGGACTAGTGACAGATTCAGACCCAGGCTCTGTCCCCTTCTTACTCTTAGCCAATTAGTGATCTTATCTGCTTTCACCTTCTCTAATTTTTACCAATCTAGGTCTCAGGACCTAAATACTAATATAGTTCTAGGAATTGTAGGGAAAATAGATTCACCCTAAATTCCGTAATTAACACAATATAGCTTTTAAATTATTGTAAATATTATAAGGGGAAAGCAAAAAAACAAAACAAACAAACAAACAAAAAAACATAGGTAGTTTTCCTGAGTTAATTTTTATAACACCAAAGAAAGCTTAGTAATTCTTAATGCTTGTAGGCAGATTAGAAGACAAAGTAAACAAAAAGAGAAAAGTTACTTATTATGTTGCCAGAGATAAATGGTAATGAATAATATCTTTTTTTATATTTTCTCTGTGTGTGCCTGTATTAATAACCTATATATGTGTATAATTTTAAATCTTATCATATATGCCTTCTTTTTTATAGCATGCCCAGGGATTATCTTCCCTGCATCTTGCTCTTGGCATTTGTTTATTCTCAAGTCATATTTCATTAACATTCTTCTATGGCTTTTTTGTGTGTGTGTGTTTGGGGGGGGGGCGGGGCATTGTTGCCCTTGAAAAAAAAAAATTTTTTTTTAAACAAAAGGGTCTCTATTTGCAAAAAGTCAAGGGGCCACTGGGGCGATAGGATAGGCAGATGGGCTTCTCCTGTTGGGGTGATCAGGAAGGGGAAACCCTCCCTGTCACCCTGGCTGCCTCGGGGACAGGTGGCACTGGCTCAGGGACAGGATAAGCTCCAGGCCTCACCCTCTAGCAGCTCTGGACCAGGCTCCCCCCCCCCCCCCCCCCCCCCAGTCACTTGGTGTCATGGTGTCGCCTGCTATTATGCCCAGGGATCTCTCATTTTAACCACTTTAAAGAATGTTTTAAACACATTTTGAACTTTTTAAACTTGTAAGAAATCTACTGTGGGAAATTCTTTGATTAATGAAATAAGTACCTTCAATTGCATACAGTTCTTTGAAACATGAGTATATTCTGCTTTTTAAAGTTTATGCTAGTTCAGCATTATACATTTGAGATATTCTAAGCTTAATTTCAAAAAGATTAAGTAAATGCCGAAGATTGAAGATTCTTATAAACAACCACTTTAACTTGTCAACGTGCTTTTTTTGTTGTTGTTGGTTTTTTCTTTGTTAGCATTGATTAATTCACAGGGACAAAGTCATTTGGCTTTTTCACTTCAAGTCAAATAGTAAATGTGACTGAATCTTCAATGTTTGTTACTTTCCAACTTTTTTATTTTTGTAAAAAGGTTTGTCATTTTTCATCCTTTCTCATTTTTATACACCTTATTTATAGATACCTGAATCCTTTCACTACTACTCTTGTGACTCAAATTTAAGATGTGAAAATAGCTACTTGTGTATTGTGTGTGTGTGTGTGTGTGTGTGTGTGTCTTTTGTGTATTATGAAATAGGCAAAGTATTTTTAAGACTATATTCTTGACCAAAATTGAGTGATAGCAATCATTTTCTTGTGTTTCTTCCTCAAAAAAGATGAATAGATATAGATTTAGCAAGTTTATTAGATGTTTCCTTTATAGTTTAGTGAAATTGCAGGTAATTTCTACTTGTTTGAGCAGGATGGCTAGAGAGGGCATTATCTTTTTAAGAAAGATGAACATTATGTCTTACAATGGAAAATTAACTTTTATATTTCAAGTGTTCTTGTTAAGACATGGGCTAGTATTATTCTCTAGAATCACCCTCTTTACGTTGTTTAGTTATGCCATACTTTCATCATACTTGAAGTTAGACACATAGCTTTACAAGACAGCTTTATGCTGAATAATTTCTCATCCTTGGAGGTGGCATATAGAGCTTTCCTAAAAAAAATAAGATGACTTCTACAGTAAGCAGTTCTGACCCAGTTTCTGAAATCTGCGCAAAGAGACAAAACACCCAGACTCTATTCATACAACCCAAGTGACTTAGCTCACATGAACTGCTAGTATTAATATATCGGGTCTAGTAATAATTAATGTCGTTTTTAAACATTCATTTAAAATCTTGCTTGGCGTTGACTTGTATTGACATAACCTTCAAACACATGGTATCTACAGAACGTGTGAAGTGCAATTAACAAGTTTTGCTTGAAAAAGTTTGTGTTTGGTTTGGTTTTTGTTGTAAAACTAGCGCTAAGAAGATGGCGGATGAAGAGCATATTCGGCACTGCATGCTTTACGAGTTCCAATTAGGAAGAAAAGCAAGTGAGGCTGCAAAAAACATCTGTAGTGCTCTTGGCCAAGATGCAGTTAGTGCCAGAAAATGCCAGCGTTGGTTTGAGAAATTTCGCGAGGGAAATTTTTCGTTAGATGACAAGAGTGGTCGAGGCCGTGTGTCCAATTTTGATCAAGAAGCTCTTCAAGCTCTTTTGGTGCAAAATCCTCAAATTACCCAACAAGAGCTTGCGACAACTTTAAATTGTTCACAAAAAACAATTTCCAATCAATTGCGTGCACTTGGCAAAGTCCAAAAGTTTGGAAAATGGGTTCCTCATGAGTTTACCAACAACAACCATAATCAAAGAGTCACAATTTGCAGTTCGCTCCTCTCTCGTCAAAACCGTTTGCCGTTTTTAGAGCAAATTGTTACCGGAGATGAAGAATGGGTGCTGTATGTTAATTTGAAAAGGCGGCCTCAATGGTTGGACAAAAATGAGGCTCCGCAGCCCACGCCAAAACCTGACGTGCATGCGAAAAAAGTGATGTTGTGTGTTTGGTGGAATTTTAAAGGAATTCTTCATTATGAACTTTTACCATCTAACCAAACCATTACAAGTGCAGTGTATAGTGCCCAATTGGAAAGGTTAGCCCAAGCTTTAAGAGAAAAAGAACCCACGCTGATTAATCGGAAGGGTGTAATTCTTCACCATGATAACGCACGACCGCATACTGCAAGAATCACTGCTGAAAAACTGCGCCAGTTGGAATGGGAAGTTCTCCCTCAACCTGCATATTCTCCTGATATTGCCCCTTCCGATTACCATTTGTTTCATTCTTTGCAAAACTTTCTTCTTGGAAAAAAATTTAATAATGAAGAATGCCTCAAAAATGCATTGACCGAATTTTTTGCATCAAAATCACAAGAATTTTACAACAGAGGGATTAAAATGCTTCCTGAGCGTTGGGCACAAGTAGTAGAAAACAACGGCAACTATATTGTTGATTAAATTATGTTGTATTGTTTAAATAAATTCGATTTTAAAAAGTATTAGAAAACGACATTAATTATTAATAGTTGCATGGATTATTTTTTTAAAATATATTTTTATTGATTTTAGAAAGAAAAGGAGAGGGAGAGAGAGATAGAAACATCATTGAAGAAAAAGAATCATTAATTGGTCGCCTCCTTCTCACCCCACACTGGGGATCAAGCCCGCAACCCAGGAATGTGCCCTCACCGGGAATCGAACTGGGACTTCTTGGTTCATAGGTTGACGCTCAACTGCTGAGCCACGCCATCCAGGCAGCATGGATGATTTTTAATTAATTTTTAATCACACAAGTGATATAGCATTTTATTCCTCTTATTAAAATAAAAAATATAAATGATTCAAATTCTCTTCCAATTAGCATGCTTCAGTAGGATTATCTATTCCCCATAAAAATTGAACTACACTATACATTTGTAGGGTAATCAACATTCCATATTCTCAGAGGAAAACCTGCCATTGTTTCTTTTTCTTTGTATATTTAATGCAAGTTGCCCAGGCCAAGATACTAGTAAAATTTGACACCCCCCACCCCCACCCCCAAGTTGAGGAAGAGGAGACTCCCAGTCCTGAGATAGAGGGAAGGGACATTCTTATCCAAGCATATACTTAAGTTTGCACAGTGAAATCTAATTAAAGTAAACCTCATTATGTGGAATATGTTATTTGGAGAAGTTAGCAAACTCAACATACATGTCCATATGTATATAAAAAATAATTTCATTAGAACCACTAATCAACTTAAAATGGAAAAGAGATCTATTTCTTGCTAATTTTGTTTCTTACCATAAAACTATACTTTTGTTGGCTACCATTGTGTGTGTATGGCAGGGAGTTTTCATACATTTTTCCTAATGTTGTTATATCCGGTTTACAATTTAGGAAACTGTGACTCAGAAATTCCATAGTATATCCCAAGGCCACATAGTAGACAGAGAGGGAGATGGGGTAGGGTGCTGTCATTTAGGCTCTTTTCATGGCATCCTGCTTCCTCAGATCAATTAAGAGAATCAGTTTCTGGAATGTACAAATAAAATCGTTTAACATTGTTGGCTCATTAAATGTCAGAAGAGTTTTGAATTCTCATTTTAATGTCATTCTGGTTTTATAAGTAAACCCCCCCCCCCCTTTTAAGCCAGAAAAGGCACTCTGAATATTTAACCACAGGTACCAAGTGGACTTTGACCAATCAGCATGTGCGCCACTTATACATCAGTTGAATGTCATCTCAGCTTTAAGGCCTAATGAATAGCAATTAGAGTGTTTTAAACTCTTTTGGCAAGTTAATATTTTAAAAAACCCACCACGTCCTTCTCAAAAATTGCCCCCTAACCTGCTATTAACTGTAGTCGTAGCATTCTGATTTCAATCACTCGAGTAGATTTTTGGGGTTTGTTTTATTGGATCACTGAAAACTTTAAATGAACCTGCGGAATTTCATGACTGAGTGTCTGCCTTGTTTTTCCCTTTTTCCAGGTCTATTATTAGCAGAAGATTTTTCTGCATAGTTGGCACGCTGTACCTGTATCGGTGTATTACAATGTATGTAACTACACTCCCAGTACCCGGTATGCATTTCAACTGCTCTCCGAAGGTAAACCACTCCTCACTGTCATTTCCCTTTTTGTTTGTTTCTCGTCTTGCCCAGGGGTCCTTTGACTAAGGCCAAAGGTGAAAATTTCTTTGGAACACAGGCCAGTCCCCCCACCCTCATCTGGGAATGTCACCAAGCAGTATGGCCAGGCAGCCCCACCCTTCTCAGGGTTTCCAAACCCTGTCAGTGCTTCCCAGCTGGGGAAATATGTGGTCTAGTGAGTGTGCTGGAAGTAGTTACGCTTCGTAGGTGGGTGTAGCTCTTTGGTTTCCTGCCAGATTTTTAAAATATTCTCTCCCTTGACAGAGATCCAAGAGCTTTTAGATGGCTTTTCCCTCTCTTAGATGGAAAGTTCAGTTTGAAATGATATTTTTTCCCCCTTCTTTCTATGAATCTCTTTGGTGGTAATCTGTAACAGCAGAGCCAGTTCCTGTCTCCTTGCATTCTCCTTTCTCCCAAACAATGGAAATTTTGCCGAATGTAGTGATCTCCTCTAGTAGCATAGAAGCCCTTCTTTAACCTAAACTTCCTCTCTTATTGTCTCTGCCTTTCCATTAGGGTCACATAACATTCCTTACTTTTACCTTGGAATAATTTCAACTTGGGAGATCATTGGAACTTCATGAAATAATTAGCAGAAGATTTGGTTTTTAAAATGTTTACCTACATCAAAGCTCTTTGATGCAATAAGAGATAGGAGAGACTGGTTTCCTGGATTTGATGGGGGGGAGGGGGGCATGCGGGTGACTACCTTAGTGAGTTTGACATAATTTCTTTGCACTGCACTTTCGGTTCCAGCCCTTTGTACTTTTCCTTCCAGAAGGGAGCTTTGTCCTCTGCTTGGACCTGGAAGAGGGCTGAAAATGGACTTTGGATATTTATAGTGGTGTCTTTATCATTTGAAATTTCAGATTCCTTTAAGTTACTTGCTTACTGTGTTTCCTCTTTTTTTTAGTCTTATATTGTGCTAGTTTTTTTCTCTGCTCTTTCCATTTTGCTACAAACTCTTTCCTTAACTCTGGAGAAGCATCATAAAAATTGTTCCTAGTGTCCCCATCTGTGTCAGTGGTTCTACCTCTGTGCCTCCCGTGCTGCTCTTCCGCCCGACCAAGAAGCCAGCCTCAGATCTCCTTTATTCTCTGTAGATGCTCAGGCACTGGCCTTGCAGCTCCTGGGCTGTAGGAAGGATCCAGTATAGACCCTTGCTGGGAGCCTGGCTGGTTAAGCAATATGTTCTCAGTAGTAGGCTGGCTGCTTAGGACAGTGGTCGGCAAACTCATTAGTCAATGATTGAAATTCCTTTTGAGAGCCAAACTTTTTAAACTTAAACTTCTTCTAATGCTACTTCTTTAAAATAGACTCGCCCAGGCCGTGGTATTTTGTGGAAGAGCCACACTCAAGGGGCCAAAGAGCCGCATGTGGCTCAAGGGGCCAAAGAGCCGCATGTGGCTCACGCGCTGCGGTTTGCTGACCACTGGTTAGGATATTCGCCCAAGTTTAGTTCAGCTCCTTAAAAAGGCCTGTCTGTGCATTGGGAAGTTTCTCCACCAAGGAACACGTTATGCCAGCTTAGTTAGATGTGAGATCTGACCAAGCTCAGGTGGGAGATGGATCCACCTCATGCTGGGTAACTTTTCTCTGGACTTGGGCTCAGGCTTGGTTTCTCCTCAGGAGCTCTGCCCAGCTGCTGGCCAGTGCGGGCTGCTAGCACAGGCACTTACAGAGGCAGCTTTAGTCATCAGCTTATCTACCCAAGATCTGGGACCAAAAATAGCTTGTGGGTTTTCTTGGTAAAGGCAGAGGTAATACCAGGAAGTGTATGCAGAAACCAAACCCAAATGTGTCACTCGTTTATTGTGTCTCTGAACACCCTGAATAAGGACATCATTCTATGACCATCTTCTAGAAATTGAAATTCTTCAAATCAAGTATGTAGGAGAGGGTGGAATAATAGCAAACATTATCAGTTAAAACTCATTAAATCTAATTACTTGTTTTGCAGAATAGGACTCTTGGGAGAAAGAATTCAGAAAACAGTGTTTTATTCTGAAAATTTTCAAATGTATACCAAAATTAAGAATCTAGTGTATGGTGTAAGGTACTGTTGTATACCTAGCATCCAGATTCAGTAATCGTCAAGATTTGCTACATTTGCTTCAACTGTTTTTTCTTTCAAAATATTTTTAAATCCAAGTCAGTGTCATTTTATTGCTACATACTTTTGTATGTATCTAGAAATTTTGGACATTTTATTGCATAATTTTAATGCTGTTGATATATCAATATGATTAACAGCAATTATTTGGTATAACAAATACCATTTCATGGAGTACTTTGATTGTCTTAAAATGCCCCCCCCCCCTTTTTTTTTAACATTTGGTTTGTATAAGTTAGGATCTCTTTATAGTACATATACTAGTGGTTGTTCTATCTCTTAAGTCTCTAATTCTGGACCAGTCTCTCTCTCTCTCCCTCTCTTGCCCTCCCTCCCTCCCTCCTTTTCTTCTTCACTCCCTCCCTCCCTCTCTTTTCCTCCTCCGCCTCCTTTCATCCCCCCATCAGAAACTTGTAGAGATCAGATTAGTTGTCCTGTAGAATATTCCACATTCTAGATATCTGTTTATTTGCTTCTAGTGTCAATTAACTTCTTCCTCTTTCCTGCATATTTCATCTACATAGAACTTTATTTGATTCCATTTTAACTTGGTGGCAAGAGCATTTCGCGGTGAAACAGTGACTTTGAAGCTAGACAGAAGAGTAGGCAAAACCCTCACTGGCTTGGTGCAGCCCTCAGAATGGCAGATCAAGCTTACAAAATTCAGGGGTTGGCCAAGGGCTAGGGGGCTGCACTGCACAATGTCAGAAGGGAGAGAGGGTAGCACTTTGTCAGAGAGAGATCCAGACACTTGCTTTGTCTACTGGAGAGGCATACGCAGAGCTGAGTTTCAAAACCTTTCAAAATGTCATCCATTCCCATGTTCTATTTGATGTCTGTCAATATCCTCACCGTGAAATCTTGATCATCCTCTCTCTGAACCATTGCCTACAGCAGGAACTTACTACCCAGTGGTTAGGATGGTCTTGCACATTCACTTACTAGCTGTGTGGCAGTTGCATTAAACTTCTCAGAACCCCAGAAAGATTATTGACAAAACAAGGCTAATGACACTTTTGATATCTGTCTGAAGGAGTGAGAGTGAAAAAGGCAATACTTAAGGGTTCTATTGGTGTGAAATGTTGTACAGAAATAAGGTAGCTCAGTATCATCATCATGCGTCAACCCCTAGACTTATTTGTCCAGCATTTGTAAAATGCTGTGATAAGGGCCTGGAGCTAACCCATTGGCCGTAGGGATAGAAAGGAGGAGACAGATTTGAGTCATGTTCAAGTGGCTGAATCAGTACAACTTAGTACAAAATTTGAGGTAGGGAATGAGGATAGAAAGGAAAACTTTTACCACTGAGATACAAGGGAAGGAGGAAAAGGGAGTTAATGATTTCAGGTTAAGCAAATAGAGTTTGAGGTGCTTGTTTATTCAGTTAGCAATATAGGCCTGAATTTGGGGAAATCAGAGCTAAAAATTAAATATTTGTCATTTGTTTTAATCTAGATGGTATTAAGACTGTGCGAATGGATGAAAAGACAGAGACAGGACATATGGAATAGCGTTTCTAGAATTAGATATTCCTCCTTGATTCGAGACACCATTAAGGCCTGTCTGTTGGTTCTCAATAATAATTAAAAAGAATGGAGCTTTAGAATAGGACCTTCTGTTTAATATAGTCATGTGAACTTAAACTTGGTTCTGCCATCATATTGAACCCCATAGTTAGTATACTTAATTCTTCCCTTAATGCCAATACCTTAAAATGCATGGATTCTAAAAAAATGTCACAACAAGTATACAGTAGTAATTATGAAAAATTGTCCCTATTCATGTATTTGATGGTGGTGTACTTGTCACTTCACAGAATGTAATAGCTTAGGCAGTGTTTCCCAAACTTTTGACATATGTGTGCCCTTCTATAATTTTTGTAACGCTGAGTACCCCTTGTACTCATGAGAACGTAGAATTAGGCGCAGCTAAGCACGGTGCAGTGCATATCCCCACCAAACTCTTCCATACCCCTGGGGGTTCGAGTACCACACTTTGGGAAACACTGGCTTAGAGAAATAATCGTGTGTGAAAGGTGGCCCTCCCATCAAAGATAATCACTGGGAAAGGAAGTAGGTGTATTCAGTTGCTAGATTAGAAGCTTATGGGTGTTCCAGGCTTACACTGGAAGCTGCCCAGTTTTTGGTACCATGATTAGCCCACACTAATCTCATCCCAGCTTCTCTCCAAGGAACATGTGTGTACAACCCCCCAAGCAACCTCTTGTCATCTCCTTCCAGTTGTTTAGGATTCCATTAAAAAACTAAAAGAATGAGGCAGAAACATGGGAGAATTCTTTGGTATTCTAAGCTTTCTGTTTTAGCAAACTCCCAAAGAGAGAAAAACAAACAAACAAACAAACAAACAAACCTGCCCTAGACACCAGATACACTGACAGCCTGCTGCTAATGGAAGAGAAGAAATAAATTATGCAGTTTTCCACGCCCATTGTAATAATCGTATGAGTTAATCTAGTGACTAAGCATTAAAGTGAGATGCGTGTTGGGTTCTGTTTTTTGGTCTCCATGGTGAGCTTAGATTTGAAAACCTCTAAAGGAGTTTTGTTACAGCTAAGGTACTTAGCTGGCAAATGCATTAATTTGACATGGTATTTTCAGTGAAATGATTCTCTTGAACTTGAAAGGCATGGTTTAAAAAAAAAATTCCCAACACACTTGAACATAGCCCACAGTTGGACAAGGGTTATGTTTGAGTGGCATTGGAGATTAATTCAATTGTTCAGTGGAACAATAAAACACAAAAGCGACGAAAGGCCTGTGTACTCTCTTCTGTCACCGCCCATGTTCCTGCATTGCACAAACTAGACCCATCAGAGTGCGTCATT